ATCATCATCAACAATATCAGCATCATCCTCGTGGCAACTCGATAGACATCTTAGGGTTTGCGCCATCTACTTTGAACACACAATAAGTAACACCCTTGTTCACAAAAGAAAATTGATCCGGTAATCCTTCCAGAATATGTTGAAGTTGAGAACCTGCCTCAACACGGCGAGATTCTCCAGCACAGAGTGTTCTCACCAGGAACTGTGACTGCAACTGCTGGGAAGTTTGGAGTGTGAGATTCTTAACTGTCGGGGTCAGTGAGTCAGAATCATACTCACCATCATCGTCATTTGCACCGTTGCCTTCAGTTTGCCATCATCGCTACCGCCGTCGTGACCCTCAACTTCATCATGAACACCATCATCGTCATGAGCATCATCATAGACAACAACGATGCAACAACGTATTAGCGTGCTCATCAACATCGCATGTCCGTGTGACCGTGGATTGTGAGTGTGCCAGTGAAGCTATCTCATCATCATGATCATGATCATGATCATGATCATGATCATGATCAGCAGCAGCAGCAGCAGCAGCAGCCGCACCAGCAGCAGCAGCAGCAGCATCGCTACTTCATCTGCGCGTGCTACGCCTCGGGTGACGGTCCGAGTGCCCGTGTGCCCTCTTCCCGACTCGCGACACCGGCATCGACCGACTCGAGGACCGGTTTTGGAGCGACTGATCAGATGTCTTTGATCCGTGGCCCCACTTCACAACACTTGGCTTCCATGTGTCAAATCCACATTGGTGATTCCATTTAAGGACCTTTTCAAAGATCATCGGTTAATATGATTATATGACAGGAGGGGCATTTCAATCAGTCTGCCAGCCTCCAGCAGCAGGGCCTGACTTGATTTCTAGTGGGTTGAGAGTAGATGGCACAATCCCCATAGAGTAGTTGATATATACTGGGTGCCGTCATCTGTCAACCACATCTTGGGGTTGCCGCTATCTACTCTGACACCCGTTTGTGCAATCTCCGGGTGGAGGGCCGGCCCTAACCTCGGTCCAGAGCGGAGGTCCGGTGTCCGGTGTCCGCACCCCGAACATGGAAGCCCAGCGACCAGGGCCCTGGTGAAGCGGACTGGAACAGTTGCCGACCCATTGAAGCGGCCCATTGACGACCCATGGAGTCAGCAACTCTTCCAGTCCCATGGAGTCCAGAAGTCGCCTGGAAGCTCCGCGAGCCCCGCTGGGCGGTGGCCGATGCCGGTGCTAAAGCTGGTGGTGGGCTGGCGCTGAAGGCCATGGAGGGCGCTAGCAGCAGAACTGCAGCAACCTGAAGGCACCGCTGGTGACGTGCCGCCAAACGAGGCAAAGCTACCAGCACTTTCAAAAGGGGTCACCAATGGAAGCCCCTACCCCACTAAGGGACCTCCATTGGACACCCCTTGAAGGTCCAGGTGTATATTTCGAGGATAAACACGCTGCAAACCCTGCATGGTCAGGCATTGAAGTGTAGACTTAGACGTGTAGTCGTTTTATGACGTTGTCGCATGTTGTGGCTGTTTGATCCCAAAGTTGCATTTGACCTGCTGCTTGTCTTGGGGGGCAGAATCAAGCACAGCAAGTGGTGCGCAACCGACAAGACCTCACAGTGCAGCTGCAGCTGCCAGCACTGCTGTTTCTATTAGCAACCCAACAAGCTACAGGGATCTACGATACAGGGTGGTTCATCGCTGATTCAACCAAAAAAACGGGACCGTCCCTGCCGACTCCAACAGCATCTTCTCGCTCAGCCACGGCCAAAGCCACCACGCTTGCAAGAACACGGCTCGACCGCATCGCTTGCGTCGGTCACGTTCGCGTCCGCGTCCGCGTCGGCGGTTGGCGGTCCGGTTGGACTCCCGGGCCGTTGACTCCGTGAATGCTGGAGCCGAGGGCGAGGGCGGCGAGTCTGGGAGAACTGCGGTCCTGGTTTCAAGATCCCAGGTCACTCAGCTCAAGAGAAACATGCTCCTGGCGAAACCTGGTTCCTGGCGCTGATTGGAGGCTGAAGTAACTACTCATCCAGGTTCAACAACCAAATCACACCACTTCACTGCAGTACACTTCATACAGGCATCTTCCCTGCAGGGATATATATATATATATTACCCTGCAGCCCCCAGCTACTGCTTAGAACTGGCACTCCCCGATCAGTTGGGTGGTACCTCACTCGCGGGTTTCTCTGTACAAATCATGATGGTACCAAGGAGTTTGCCCACCGGTTTGGCAGGTCGTTCCAAGGGACGTGTTGGTTTCGGCATGTTATAGCGTGGTTTAGTATATAGCTATGTGCATAAACACCACAAACCACCTAGTCCTGAACATATATTTGAATATATTTGAGCATGCCTCTCCTATCATCTACTCTGAAGCCACATCGCTTCCCCCCTGCCATCCCTGCCTGCCGCGTGCGGAAGGCGATGAGCAACGACAAGGAGGCTGTGAGGGCACTCCACACCTGGAAAATGCAAGAGATCCCATGTAATCAAAAACTCATGAAATACATATGAAATCCATCAAAACTGATGAAATCCACAATGACATCCCTAAAAACTGAAATACATATGCAACATCAAAGCTGATGAAATCCATGATGACAGCCTGTCTTTATGCATACGATTCCTGGCCCACCCATCTCTTTAACAGTCTTTACCGAAGAAGCATGGTCGTACGAGTTTAGACGCTCAAGCCAGCTCAACCTCTACTGTGATGGTCTTGGAACGCCACATGAATGGCCATAAGCACCCTAGGCTTCCAACAAACATTGATATAATAAATATTTTTTTACCGAACCACCATTGTCTTCCCAAGGAATTTGCACTACAACAACAGGTCAACCTTACTTTTAAAGGTCTTGGAAGGCTACAGTAGGGTGCATATGAAATTGTCCATCTGGGCATGGTTGTATCCGAATCCATCCAGGCTGGGCTTGAGGGAGGATTGACACCAACAAAAACATTAGGTGAACAACCCCTGAAGTCGCTGCGAAGGTCCAGAAAAGAGCTTTGGGTGACACGGATTCGTCTGGATTTGGCGAGCGAAAACACGGCGAAAACACGCCAGCGACCAGTGCAAGCGACCACAATGAGCCTGCTGTTTGATTGCCAAGTTGTTAACAGTTTGTACAGCTCTAGATTCTACATGTCATCGGAAAAGCCGCCGGAACATCGACCTGCGCTTTTTGGCGCGGACCAGCTCGCCGACAACAACACATGTCTCCAATTGTATGTTCAAAGGGGTCTGGGAGGGTTTGCCAGGAATCCAACGCCCTTTTTTGCCACGGCCATGTTTTATCAGACACCCGCGGGGACCAGAAAACAACGCGAGCGCACGGCCTGGCTCTTATTAAAGTCATCTTGGACGATGGTCTCCAACACCTCGCTGGTCTCCTGGGTTCGAAGGCGGGCACCGAAGGAAGCAAGAACAGATCGGAAGCGACGGCGCGACGGGGTGGTCATCAGTGGTTTTTGCTTGGTTGGCCTAGGCAAAGGGAGAGAGTTCCATCCCGAAGGTGAACCAAACTATGAGATTCGTGTGATGTTCTGCAGACGTTTGCAATGGTTTTTTAGATCTAAGCCTACGGAAAGGACGATGAAAAGCAGGGAACCACATGGAACAACATATGGTGCTTCTGGATTCAACAACAGCTATATGGGCTTGCCGGGCTTAAAGGGGGGCCCGGGGGACAAGCTGTGGCCCGTGGTTTTGGGCTTCGCCGTGGCTCGGTCACGTCATTGATGAGCAAGCACCAAGCGCCAGTGAGTATAACACCTCAGCTCAGGTGAGCGCCAGGTGTGGGACATCCGGAATCGAAGGACCAAACGTCCCTAGCGATTCGAGGCTAAAATCCTCGAAAACAAAAAGTCGTCCCATCAGTGTTTTTTTACCTTTTTCTCCCGGTGTGCTTTACATGATTTTGCTGGGACTTTGGACTTGTGGGGAATGTCGACTCTTGATGTCAAATCCCCAGGGAGAGCGGCGCTCACGCAGGAATGCGCATTGACTGAGAATTGGTAACATCCGCTGTCGACACTCAATTTCTGCAGAAGGACTTTGTTTGGATGTGTTTGTTGCTGCAAGTTTGTGGAGGACTTGAAGGCTTCAGGTCTTCTGCAGTGGCAATAGTTCAGCTTCGTTCAGGATTGGATTTGTTCACTATGCTGCTGGCTGGTCACTGAACACATCTGCCGGACATTTTGCTTGATCTTCCTGGTGGTCGTTTAATAGTGATCAATAGTGATTACTGTGTAGGTCCTCTTCACTGTCCTTTTCATGTTCTTCTTCTTTCCTCCTTCTTGTTGACCCAGCAATCCCAGTGCAACATGTACATACTAAGCACACTCCCTGAAATCATCAGGGAATTGAATTGGAAAACCAATTGTTTGTAGAGGACATGATTGTTCCAGGGAGTCTAACTCAGCTTATGTATACCAAATCTAGAACCTGACTGTGAGTGACACAACATTTGGAGCCCAAACATGCTTTTTCCCCTATCCCAACAAAGCCTCATGTCTGGGGGTTCGAGGCTAAAAGTCTCCAGTTCTCCTTGACCCTTTCTCGACCCCAGCGGCTGGGCAGAGTGAGCAAGAAGGCCAAAGGAAAGACAGAGCCTCGTAGCCGACAGAGGATCTGCAAGCCATCCTGCACCAACTCGTCTAGGTCCCGGTGGGTGGCGCGCGCGGTGGTCCAAAAGAGTCATCATCGACCCGACGAGTCCAACGATCATCCTGAGGAAGTAGAAGATGAACCGATCCCAAACACATGGATGTGTTATTTTAACCCCTTCATTGTTGGGTTGGATGCTGATAAAGAGGTATAGGCGAACACCGGTGGGGGTTGTTATTTTTGTTAGTCTTCCCATTATGTCTAGTCCTGGATGACGAGATATGAGAGAAGTCACGACCTCTTTTGTTGGTGCTTTTTGGGCATGTTTACGGGCCAATCAGCTGGAAGATTCCAGTTCCAAGTATATAATCATGTCGAACTTCCAGGCTTCCAGGGCCAGGGCCGCCCGTTCTTGAGACCCAAAAGCAGTGGTCTGGGTGACCGTCCAGCCAGGTGACCCATGGCACGCATGAGACGCTGAGACGCTGGAGGTATGCTCTTCTTCTGTGGTTTCAGAGTATAGATATGGGACAAAGCCCCGAACAGGTCGTTGAGATGGGTATGTAAACAAGGAATATGCCATCTACTCTGAAACCACTTATATATATATATATTACACATATAAGTACCAAAACAACAGCGACGATTTGGTGTTGGCCCACATTGGGCGGTTTCCAAAAAACACGGCAGAGATGTTGAATTTTGAGTTTTGGTCCCATGTTCTGGGGCAGTTCTGCATGTTCGACATAACATCAACTGATGAGCCAAGGCACCTCATACTCGATCATCCTTCACGAGATCCAGATCAACTGGCCTCGCCACTTGGCCGAGCTGAGCTTGGCCACCCCGTCTGCGTGAAGCGGATTTTCCAAAACGAACTTCGCACGGAGCGCACAGGGTTTGTAGATCGCACGGATTCGTGCCAAACCAAAAAACAACAACATCTTGGCCATGTTGCTACCAACAACGTGCTCTGTCTTCACGTCAACATGATTCCTTCTTCCAGACATTTCCAAACCTTCACTCTTCCACCTTGTGAGTTATCGACACCGTTCCACCAGTCGACCATCCAGGTGCGGAAATCCCTCCACTCGAGTGTGAGTGGCGCGACCGCCCACGCCAGAGAGTGGGTGATGGGAACGAAAAAACGGCCCCTGCCTCGCGATCTCGGGCGCGTCGGAGACGTTTTCGTCCCCCCCCCCCACGCCCGGCTGAGCCACACCGGCGCGACGACTTCACTCAAAGGGTGTGGACGACGGGAGTCCAACAAGATCCCAAATAGTACCAGGGCCCCCTGTTTGGGGTGGTTAATGGATACTCCTGGCCCCTTAACCTCTAAGGAGCTATAATTAGACACCCCTTAGGGGGCCTAAGGAAAACACATGTTCCATATCCACATTGGGGGTATTTTTGATGGCCACCCAAAGGCTTAAAGGCTCCAAACAGGCCTTGCTCCCTGAAGACCCAGGGATTTTGGGGTAGTGCGGACCCCTCCAAAGGATTCCGGTCCATCCCCCTACTTTGGAGGCTCCATGGTCCTTTCACTGCGCTTCACCATGTGCTCATGCGAACTGCCATAGCTGTTACGCACGTTTGGCTGTGAACTCGTCCCAGTTTCGGGCGCACGGGACGCAATCGAACCTCGGTGCCGGTGGTGCCGGACGGACCGCGGTCCGCAGCTGACCGCGAAGCATGTGTTTGGCTACGGCCTGAAACGGGGGGGTCTTGGTCGCCTTGATTGGTCCAACAAAGTCTTAAAGTCTTAACCAACATGTTGCAACAATAAACCATCCGCGAATGGGTGTCACTCTGTGGATTGATCATGTGCACCCTTCTGGCTCTTTCATTCACCACCCCAACCTGGAACTAAAGCCATGGAGTCTCAGTTCGTTCCTGTTGAAAATGAGTACCAGTACCTGTTCTCATAGGGTCATGTCCCATTATCTATGGTACTTGAAGTCGAGCCCAGGTCCTTCTCCTTCAGCAGATTTTTGAACACCGGATGGACCCAATCATAGGAAGGGTTGGTGTTCAACTCGTGGGTCACTGAACTCTGAGAAGAACTAACATGGAAGTGGAGTTCACAGCCAGTTTGTAGAGGGAAATGGTCATCCAAGGAGCCCATTGTCCAGCTCCATGAGTCTTTCAGGGAGTGTACCTGAGCCTTAGATCCTGAAATCACGTCAGTCCTTTCGACAAACTTTTGAAAACACAACATCTCAAAGGTGCTTCAGTCCAGGGCATCGCACGTTGACCATGTGGATCGACTTCGACCATATGCGACATGCAGTCACACACACAGGCAAACAAAAAGAAACCAATGCAAAAAGCCTCCGCGTCGCCGCGACCGTCCTCCACTTCAAGCGACCCAAGTCCATCTCGGACCGGTCGAGGCCAGGGACGGGAGCCACCGGTGCTTGAGCCCGGGAGCGCCGTTGAACGGTGGCCGACACGGCGGAGGCTGCGACGCAACGAAATAGAGGGACTCAAATCATCACAAGAATCAGCAACACTCCTGAACTCCTGAAGGCTCAAGTTACTGGAGGATGGCACATTGGGTCCTAGTCAAATAGCTCACTAATTGCTACGCGACCAACACTATCCCAGCGAGATCAGCACCGCTGATGAGACTTTGAAGCAAAAAACGCGAAAAGGTTGGGCACACGGTTTACGATTGCATGTTTTCTCTTCTCCGACTGTTCAGTGGTCAAGGTCAAGTCGTGTTGCATAAGTAGTGATCATTGCTCTGCAAGTCCAGTCTGAGCCCGTAAAACCGGGTCCTTTGCCTCATTGATCCTCGTTGAGTGGTGTAGAAACTACATGACCAACACCAGTTCAACAGGGGGTCCTTAACAGGCCCGGGCCAGGGCCTGGGAGGGTCGAATTCATTGGCATCAAAACGCCGTTCATCGCCTCTCCATCCCGGTGCCAAACGCCCCCATCCGCTGAGCTCATGGACCGTGCCGGCTTCCCTTTGGGCGGCGGAGGTGGAGGCCGCTTCTCCTCCTGGTGCACGCTTTTCGGTTCGAATCCTCAACGAGGACTTAAGCACCTGGACCTGACTTCAAGTACCCTTAGAAAATGGATGAAAATGGGAAGAACAACAACTACCCAGGCACTTCAAGTACTTGGCATACTTGTACCGATTTTCTGAAGTATCAACGGGTCGACTCCAGGCAAAGACTTTCTTTCAAATCTTTCAAGATCATGGGGACAAACATTTCAAGTGACAGGGCGTCCCCTCAAATTCCACCAAAGCGAGACATATTGCATAGTGCATGTGTTTTTTCTTTTTTTTTGTGTGTGTGTGTCTAATTCTTTCTTGGGGGAAGATTGGGTCAAGAGTGTGCTTGGCCACTTGATCCCATTGCAGCTAGTTGCGAGAACCAGGTTGCGCTGGATTGGACTTTAAGCCTTGAGGATGGAACGTGGGAAGCCTGGTGTCGCAGGACAAAAGAACCCTTCTTACAATAACAGTACAAGATTATCTTATCTGGTTTTACCTTATATAATATATAATAATAATATATAACTATATTAACTTATAATATGTATAACATGATATATATTAATATTATGATATGTTATGTAATGACCATCCCCGTGGTCCATGCAGCAACAAGCAGCATTGGCAAGGGTCCCAACCAGAAAAAAAAAACGGATCTTTCAATCTGTCAAACCAACAGCTTCTATGTAAATGGATCATCCCGGATCTCTGTTGCCCATCTTGCAACAACCATGCCATCCCAGGTCCTTGTGGCCAAGGACATCCAAGGACACTCATTTTATTGTGATGGCCAGGCACCAAGAGCCCCATTCCACGACGTCAACGACCAGGTGTTTCTGGGTCCAACTGGACGTCTAGGGCACCGTGCGGCACACGTGTTTCTGCCCGTCTGAAGAGCACTTCAAACCTCAAACCGAACAGAACCATGTCCACGTCCCCGTCCCCTGTGGACCACCGATCGGTCGGATCTCCTTGGATCCAGCTCGGCTTCCCTGGAGGTGGAGGCCGAGTGTGGCCCCGCACCGCTCGATGTGATCGAGCGATGGTGTCGCTCGGTTTGGTGACCAGGGGTCGGGTGCATTTCAAATCGATTGGGTGACAACGAATGCATCATGCAAGGAGAAGTGAGAGTTGGAATAAAAACACGAGAAACTCCTACTATAGTGAGGTGTTGGCACTATAGGTAGACTTTACGTTGATGCTTCAGATGCTTAGCTGCTATTGCGCTCATGTGATCTCATGTGATGAACTGCCCTCGAGGGAAGAGAAAAAAAAGACTGCACTTCGTGAACTGCACCTGAGCATGGTCAAGCACGATCGAAGAAACCACACCGTTTTAGCCCAGTCCGATCACCGCCGCGCCCAAGTCCGACGAAGTGGCGAATGAGCGAAGTGGCCGCGGACGAAGTGGAGCAGCTGTCGTTAAACAATGAGCGAAGCGGAACAAGAAAGTCAAAACATGTCGGAAGATGTTGTGCGTGTGTTTTTCTATTTTGTTTTTTTGGGGGTGTGCATGTCATGTTGTTTTACGAAGCAGAAGTCACCTCAGCGGTATAAACTCTTGCGCGAAAACCTTGCGCGATGTTTACGCAACCATAGTGGGAGCTTGCACAGGGGCTTATTTTCAACATTTGCTTGCGCGAGCTTGCGCTGAAATAGGCTTTGCTATTTTTCGTGCGTTTTTGCTTGCGCGGTGTATGCCCGAGCTAGCTGGAACATGGAAATTCCTCGCAAGCTACATTTGAATGAGACCGTTCTATTCGGACCTTCCGAGCAGAATCGGTAAATGAACATGAGGAAGGCGAGGCACGTAGACGACCGAGCTCTGACAATAGTTAGTTTAGACCCAGACACTCCATGGGACTGCCATATATGCCGATCAGTTGGGGTGGTTTTGGGGGTCAATGTAGGCATATATGGCAGTCCCATGGAGTGTCTGGGAGATGGAAGATGCGTTCTGTCTCTCTTTTCTTCAAGTCCCGTTCTTCGACGTTCTTTGAGTGGGTGGACTACAAGCTGGGGCACTTGCGGCTTGCGCGAGCGAAACTTGCGCGAAAATGTCCGGATGTCCAAATTCTGAACCAAACAGTGTACAGCTAACTGATCATAATATATCATAATGCATATAATATAAGTCATATATAAGGTCCGTCATACAAACAGTCAGTCATTCAAGCACTATAATAGTATGAATGGAGCTTACGCAACCTTGCACAAACCAACAGCCTTGCGCGAACCTTGTGAAACGCTTGCCAATGCGCGCGTGTGGTCCCATGCAAGTCTTGAAATAAACTAAACTAAAGTTCTGAAAACCGCCGGTTAAAGTTCGGCGGCTCTCCTTGGAGAGTTCTTGCCATATCAAATATACCCAATAAATCACATCAAACGTTTCTCAAAGGTCGATCGAACTTGACATGACCGCCGTCGGTCAAACGAAAAAGGTCGGTCGAACATGATCAAGGTCGCTCACCCTTTGCAGCGCTGGGGATCTTTGCGTCGCCAGGCCCCAATGGCCCAAACACACTCCACATATGGAATTATCTAGTTACTTACCCTAGGGATCCAGTCGTACCTTCTCAGGTACGGTGATTGGAGGCACTGTTATGTAGGTTTGGAGGGTCCAGTCGTACCTTCTGAGAAGGTACTTGGATCCCTAGAATTACATCATGGCCACCAAAAAGGGGGTCATCAAAAAAATGGGCTAAAAGGATGGGGTTACATCTCTGCAACTGTTTCAGACTCTTCGTGTTCCATACCATGGAGCTCTCTGCTATTGGCCAT